CAACCAAAATCGTAGCAGAACAAACAGAAAGAAAGATCAATTTATTTGCCACTTCACAAGATACATAATTATTATTGTCTACAGTAATCACAAATCAAATCCAATCCTCCCCCCCTCACATAGGAGATACTATAAGTAGGAAATATCATCAGATTTTTGGATAAAGTTTTGCGTTTCGTTTTTTTTTTTTAAATACTTCTCTTCTCAAAGTTCAACCAAAGTTCTTTTCAAGTCTTAGCAAAGCAGCAAAACAAAAAACAAAAAACAAAAAAAAAACATACGAATATTCAATGACTTCCAAAATTTCTGTTCTCTGAGATGTTGAAAAATTGTTTTAATCCAAGTTTTGCTTTAATCTTTAAGTTTATTAACTATTATTATTATTATTATCAATCATTATAACATTAATGTTCTTTAAGTCAACTTAAATGTAAAACTACGTATAAAATAAATAGTAAACACATTACACAAAACAACAAACAAAACAAAACAAAAACTGAAGAAAAATGCTAAAAAAAAAAATACAAATAAAAAATGAATATTTCATATAAAATTATATATGTACTGTGCGTGTAAATTCTATAGATATACAAAAAAAAAAAAACACTAGATTTGCTAATTTACATACTCCCCTTGATGTATGCAGAAAAATCGGAAATCAGATTCACACAGAAGGCAACAGAATATCAAAACAAAAACAAAACAAAAAAAAATCCACCACATTCATATGAAAAACTGAGAAATATACATGAAAGAAAAACCAAAATCTTTTGAAAATATAAAACCACAACATCTTTTACTTGGCAAAATTATTCGCTACTTTTTTTTTTTGCAGAAAAATTCATGGTCTTATCTGTTGGGAACACGAGTATTTTGTTTGGGATTGTTGGGGGGGGATTGGCTTACTCACTCGAGGGCTATAAAAATAATGCTGATAGTGCGACTTGATTTGCCCTCCTCGGTTTATTTACCTAAAGACTGATGACATTGGCACATTCTGGAAACCGTATCGCGGGCTCTCTAATTCACTTTAAGAAGCCATAGGAAACCCGGAATGGAAAGGAGGGTTTTTTATTTTGCAGAGATTTTTTTTTCAGAGGGTTTTAAAGTACAGCAAAATTAAAGGAACACACGGAAAAACTTAATGAAATTAATTAAGCGAAAAAGAAATCTATGAAAAATATTCCTTAATTCAAAGGCCATGGAAAAGAAGATTCATTCCTTGATGCAGAATTCTACAACAATTGTATTATAGTTTCATAGATATGAAACATTTATTTAGAACTTGAAAACGAGCTCAAGTCTCACGAGGATAGGGTTAACAGCAAAGAGAGGAAAGCAGATAAAGATTGAATTGTTTTTTTTTTTCATTAAAATGGCAGCGCACTGAACAAATATTTAAATTTAAATTGAAAAAAACCCGAAAGTTCTACTCGAAAATCGATTCAAATCTAAGGAATATTTCATGCCCACCTCAAGGAAACTTGAATTTTCCTCGAAATCAAATCTCAAATTCAAATTGTTCCATTCACAAACAATTTGAATTGATTTCCTTTGGCATTTCCAATGTAAACTTTTGTATGCACGCATTTCGAATGCGGCCTAAAATGAAATCAAATTTGAATTTCATGAGTCCATCAAGAGCTGTTGCAGTTGTTTGGGCAGGGGCAAGGGCAGGGGGTAGCATTGATTGGGCAAGCCTTAATAAAACCTGGCGTCTCTGGCGACAGTCATAAAACACCCAAGCCTGAAATTAAAAATCAATAAAAACCCACCCATTCATACATACAAAGTACATCACATCGTCAGAATCAATTGCTATTCAATGTGCAGCACACGCAAAAAAAAAAAAAAATAATAATAATAAATATACGATATACGAAATGTATAAATTTATTACAATAAAAATTGCTTACAAAGCAGCGCACAAATGACAAACATTTTTCAGAGACAATATGCTTCAAAAATCAATAACAAAATTCAACAGCATTTTTGAGTGTATCTCATAAATAAATTAATTGTGACAATATTCAATTGATTTGATTTGAAATTATCGCATTCAGCTGTCACTCGGCACACACACACACACTCACACAGGCAACGCTTTTTTCAATTGTTTCAATATTCGATTTGATTTTTTCCAATTTCTGGTTGTGTTTTTGTTGTTTTTTTTTTTGTTTTTGTTTCTTCGTCTGTTTCCCGCCACTTGAGCGTTGTCTCTGATTTGATTTTGATTCGATGTGAACACAGAAATCGCTTGGCCCCAATATCCCCCATGTGGGTATGGGAATATTGTTTGTCGATTTATCAAAGCAATCAGCCATCAGCCATCAGCAATCAGCAATCAACAATCAGTGCTCGCTCTGTGGCAAATGAAGTGCTCTGCCCGCCGTTGCTGCCTGCCAGCGTGCCCCAAGTGCGAAGGGAAGATGTGAAGTCGTTTTGGGGGATTTATATTGAGTGTTATAGTGGAGTTTGGGAAGAGTATTCGATATATGGTTGGTTATGGATATGCCTGGAGTTCAATTTAATACCATAATTATTTTTCGCAGTCATAAAATTTCATTATTCATTCATTCTTCGCGCACTACGTGTCGCTCTCTCTCACAGCGTTGCTTAGCACTAGAAGCTCTCTCCATATCGTTCGCTATTGGGGTTTCTGTATAAATTTATTTAAATTTATTTCCTATTAAATCTTTTAAGGGCATTACAAATTCCTGCTAAATGGTAAAGTTTTTTTTTTGTCGCCCCTCTTGACATTTTGATGATTATTAATAATTTTTTTATTTCCCCCTCCCAATTCCGTTGAAAGATCTGCTTTGTATGGCGCTCTGATTGTCCAACTCTTGTGTGTAGTTTTTTTTTTATATTATTTTGTGGCTGTGGCTCTCTGTTGTTCCAAATTAAATTTATTTACAGGCATCATATTTCTTTGTTTTGCTGTGTGTTTTTTTTCATGTTAAACAATTTGTTTTCGATGTCAACACTGGCACGTCGTCGAGTCTCAGTCCCCTCCCCACCGCCATCCAGAAGCCACAACAACAACAAAAAGTAAAAGCAAAAGCCAGCAGAAACCAAAACCGAATCAACTTTTTCTGTTGTTGTTAAAAATAGGCCACGAAAGAGGGCAAAAGAGAGGCAAAAAGACGATACGATACGAGAGTTTTGGGGCCACACTCCCAACTATACTCCAATGATTTGTTTGGGTCTTTAGAGATCTCGCTGGGGAGTCTGCACTAAAGTTTAGTGATGGCAGGCCCCATGCCAATCGGCTCGTTGGTCTAGGGGTATGATTTCCGCTTAGGGTGCGGGAGGTCCCGGGTTCAAATCCCGGACGAGCCCAAGTAAAGTACAATTTTTTTTGGTCTTTTTTTAACATTTTTTGTGCAATAAAAAGCAATAATCCCCCTATATAAAAAAAGTTTATTAATTCGATTTATGGGTATTATTTGAGCCAGTCATATGGGTTGGCTGGTTGACTCATGATCATTTAATGCCAGGCAATAATCACACTCTTGAAATGTTGTAAATATTAAATATAAGTACGCGTAGTTTTTGGTATATGACTATATTTATATGCCTTGCAATACTTTTATTATGGTAACCTGTGTGACTTTGGGGCTAGTCCCCGCTATAATCTTGGATGTTTTATGGCCTCATCAAAATTAAGTCTAATCATCGGTTGTGATTTTTTTTTTTTATAAAGATTTTCCAATATTATGGTGGATACCTCGTAGTTGTTGTCCAAAGAGTTTTATGCTTGGAGACGATGAAAGACACTTTCCACTTGACAAAAACAACACAAAGATCGCGTGATATCTGGAATTGATATAAAAGCTATGCAGTTTCATTCTTTAAGCTCATATCAATCACAGAAATTGGGTCATAGGCAAAGTTCTTATCAAATAAAACGCAGATGATTTGCAAACAAATATTCCTTACCCAGAAATATTCCGATTTCGTGGCAAGATAAGACGACAGAATATATTTCGACAGCTGATCTAAGATTTAATTTGATTAAATTTTTAATGCTGAATGGCTTCTCTGACATTTTCTTATAAAATTAAAATTCTACAAATTATTTAACCATTAAAAATGATTAGTGGGTACCCAATAATCCAGAGATCCGCCTTTTCCTTTTCACATACTAGTATTTATATATCTTTTCCTACTTTCAATGATTTTTTTCTTTATTTATTTAAGGTTTTTTTTTTTTTGTGCTTCCCCTTATTTATGAGGCACCTTAACATTGACAACTTGTCGTATGGTTATTGCTATATAGTCATAAAAACCAATTTTATTGTCCGTGTCGTATATAGAGATGTTAACGATTAAGCGACGCGAAGAACTTGTCTACAGATTTATGATCCAAATAAAAGGAAATGGAAAAATGTCTGGCATTTAACCTCAAGGTAGAAAAATGAAAGTGTTTTTTTTTCCTTGTCTGGTAGAGCCAACATTCCTCTAAGATATATCTTTGGTGGGGTATTATCTTCAAGTTTCTTGTATGTTGACGTGCCATCCCATGCAGAGGTGCGCTGCTGCACGTACTCTGCCTAAGACCCCGTAGACTGGTAGACTGTTTGGTTTTTTTCCTTTGCTTCGGTCGTCGGGGGCAATCGACCCATAAATAATATTTAGAAATCGGCAACTGAGATTGCATGAAGCTTAATTTGTGGGGGCCCTATATACAACAAAACAGTCGGACAGCTGGGCGCGCGGGTCTCTCGGGTCTCTGTTGTGCCGTGATTTCGCTTGGCGAATTGATATAGCAATGTGGCACTGACAAGTTGACGTTTTAGATTTGATGATTTATTTGCGGACCTGAGACACGATCGATGATTTATGAGGTGTCCGTCCAGAGATTAGCAAGCCAGCAAATGAATGGAATGGCTCTTTGGGGTTATATAAGCTGATAATGCCTCGACTCGACTCGACTCACTCGCTCTGCCCATTAAATAGACATTAACGAAATGTTCTATAAAGGCGGCAAGCAACGACAGAAGTGCAGTTAGTAACAAAAAAAATGATATCTCCACTTGTTGCCCTCTGTCTGATCGTTGGGCTCTCGTCCTCCGGTGCTCGCAAACCAGCAAAGTATACCCTCTGCACCTTCGATTCGGTCAGCTCGGACAAGTGTTTGGCTGTGGTAAAGGCATCCAGGGATGCCAATCGAGCATCTCCATTGCAATGCGTTTCGCGAAGGAGTCGCACTGACTGCCTGCAGACGGTGAAAAACGAAGATAATCATTATGTGGTGCTCGATCAGCATGATTATATGGCAGCGCGTGAGGCGGGTCTTAGTCCGATTATATTTGCACGCGAAGAGCGAGAGAATTTCATTATAGCCGTGACAGCAAGGAATATCAGTCTCATCGAGTACAATGAGGCTACACTGTAACTATTTCAGCTTCTACTTTGTGTTTCTCCTAATATTTTGCATCATTTCCATATAGCAATTTGGACACTAGCGATGAGAGAGCCTTCCATTCCGCGCTGGCATTCAATGCGCTACGCGGACGCAATATCTGCCCGGATAGCCCGTCCATAGCTCAGCGTAGATCCATACGAATTTTGAACTCAGATCAGTATAAACCCTTGAACAGCTCGGAGGATATATTGCTGTGTCCGTTTGCTACCTATGCGGAGACAAATGCCTTTGCCTCGTGCAACTATGATGCGGGTCTACAGAATGCCGTTTTTGTTTACCAGAAGCGAGGATTTAAGCCACGCAAAGTGAAGGAATTGAGACGACAATTGCTTGATTTACTGCACAACTTTAATGGCTATCAGTTTTTCAATTTCTTTGATACATTCCAGAGCGTAAACGATGTGATATTCAAGGTGAGCGTTCGCCATGCCGCTCAATATTCAAGCTGACTTTTCTCTATTTTAATATTCAGAACAACACAATTGGATTTGATCTGCGGCCGAGCTATGTGAATGGCATCGATGAGAGTGTCTTCAGCGAATTGCATTGCAATGAATCTGATCACAAGGACCATCCTGGACAATTGGGTGATGATTTGGAGACCACAAAATGATTGTAATTTATAAATAGAAATTTATTTTCTTGCTGCTGAGCATTCCAAACCTAAAGAGTTTTTCCCTTGCGATCCTCGTAATAGGTGTCGTGAACCGATCCGCTTGTCGCACATAAATTAAACAGAAAAGCATCAGCAGAAGCAACAAAACATCAGCAGCAGCAGCTGACTGATGTCGTCGCAGCTAATTAACAGTTTTGTTATAAATTACACTTAAAGTCATTTCAATTTACGTTTCGTTTCGGGGGGTGCGTCAATCATGCGTGAACCGACAACCTACACACACACACACACACATCCAGTGACATCCAGCGGATACATTTGTATCTTTTAGGTTGTCTACTCTACGAGTGCTTATGTGCGCCTGTCTGTCTGAGTGCGGTGTGTGTGTGTGTGTGTGTGTGTGCCCCCTTGTGTCAGTTGTCAACTCCTTAATAATTTTCCATTTCTCGTGTATTATTTTCTTTTTTTTTTTTCTGTGAATTTTACGCCCCCGCTGTGAGTCCGAGATCCCGGGGTCTCGCCTCCTCCCTCTGCATCCCATCCATCCATCCATCCATTCCATATCCCATGCTGTGTTGTGACATTGTTAATATTTATGGCTTCCTCGTGTCATTTTCATAATGTTGCGTTTGACACTTTCCCTCTGGGCCCCCACCATTACGAACACTCGCGGGGTACACAAGAGCAGCGGCAGGAAGGGGAATGTTTGAATTTCGAAGATCGAAGTTTTGGATACTCTTGTGAGCAACATTTTGGCTGTGGAAGTTACTTTAAAAATAAATCATAATTATAATTTTTATTTTTAATATTTTAAAAATTATTTTTAATTATTTATTTTTTATTTAAAAAAAATGTTTATTATACAAATCATAATCCTTATGATAGCCGCTTTAAAGACTCGTATATATTTAGAGTTCTTCAGACCTATTCTCATAGTCCCAATACCCTCTGGAAGAGTATCCCATGAAATGAAACAAAACACATCCCCATTCACATTCCATGTTATCTTACATTATATGGGCGGTGGTCGGAGCTCGCCCCGCCTTGGTCTTTGCATATTTTTCTTCACTTTTCTCTTCTTTTTTAATTTTTTTTTTTTTCCTTTTTTGAAAATGACATTTGTTGCTGACACAACGACAACTGTCAACAGGCACTCGGTAGCCATTTATTTTCGGTTTATGTTGGTCAAACCAGGGGGGGGGGGGATACGAGCATCTGTAGTATTAGGGAGGAACATGATTCAGGTTAAGAGTTGCCTTGAGATATACACGAATCGCTGGAGTTAGAGGTGTTGAGGGAATCACAATGACGAGGATCTTGGGGGGTTCTCCGTGTGTCTCCACACTTGAGTTCCTCGTTAATTAGTCGAATCTGTATCCTTTTCGTGTCGTGCGGCATGCATCGGCAACCTTGGGTCGGGGTACTGGGATCATGGGAACCCCCACCCTCTCCTGTAGCGTACTCCCTCATAAATTCTACCTTCAAATACCACGAATAAAATAAATAAAATATGAAGAATAAAGCAACAAAAAATCTATATTAAATCGCATTGAGAATTTATGGCCCTGCAAGGCCTTCAGCTGTGGGCCGCCGCGGCATAAATACTTCAGCTGTGATTATTATTGCACCCAGGTAGCCACCCAGTGGTTCCAAAAAAAAAAAAACCAAAAAAAAATGGAACTCCACATGGAGCCCCTGCCCCAACGGAAACAACTGGAAAGCGACCAAACAGAAATACCTTGAGCCGGTGGCACTTCAAAGGCCAGGCCGCCGGCACTAGAGTGTTTTTGTTTTGTTTTGTTTTTTTTTTTGGCGCTAATATATTATTGATAGATAAATCAGTGATATATGTATGTGACAGTGGTCAGTGCGGGGGCCTTTGCTTTCCTCCGCCTCCACCTCCTTTGGATTGTAAATTACCCCACAAACAATGAACATTTCGAAAGGGTGTGCACTTTGCATAGAGAGTGTGGGTTTCCCCTCACAGATAAATCGGGTCACTGAATGGCATCGAAATGTCACCAGCAATCAGGCTACAGATATCGGAAATTGTCGCTGACAGAGCTGTTAATGTATTTCCTGCTTTTGTACTTTTTTTGTATGTTCGCTTTTCATATTTAATTTTTAATTAATAATGTCAAGTTGTCAGATTAAAAATTGTGGCGGGATCGTAGCTCAAGAAGCGACTAGGGAATGCTCTGGAGATGTTTTCAGAGATGTTTACTCGGGGATGTTATATAATTTTCGTTGATTAATGATGATTACATGATTAATTAAAGTAGATATATAAAGTCTATTTATTTATTTATTAATTTTTTGTAAATGTTTCTTATCATTCAATAAGTTTCTTTAAAGAACTTCCTATTTTTATTAGATATTAGTGGAGTTTAAGGAGTACTCTGGTATCTCCATGAAAAACTTATATTCCGAAGATAATAATATAATCTTTAGCAGCACTTCTTAGACTTTCATTCTACCCAATCTATTCCACTTTTCTCTGTCTATAGTTTTCCCTAAATAGCCCCAACATACCCTTTATAAAATGGCAGTGCTCTTATGTATTTAATGCTGAAGTAAACTCTATGGTGAATGCCGCTACAGGGCATAAATATTTCATGCAATGTCAAGATAACCGATAGCTAAAGCCGGGCTGGTCTGGCCTGGCCTGGTCTGGTCTGGCTGGATGTTGAGTGTGATATAGTCAGAAGTTGCTAAATATGGGCTTGACCTGCCGCTGCTGCTTCTGCTGCTGCTGCTGTTGCTGCTGTTTGTGGATGTTTTTGTGGCTGCTTCTGTGGTTCTTTGTGGTTCGTGTTGCTGCTGTGGTTGTCCGATGGCCACATTATTAAGCCAATTCAACGGCAGCAGATAAATAAATAAAATTTGAAACATTGCCGCAACAATAAAAGGCGACAGTACACGATTTATTAAACGAAGCTGTGGAGACCAAATGAAGAGGCGAAACAGCGCCAAAAAAAAAGAAAAAAAAACACCAAGGAAAGAGTGAGAGGCAGGAGCGGACCCGAACAGCAGCTGCCACCGTGCTGTTGCTCACATTACTCTTTTTTTGGCGTGGCCCGAACAGACAGACAGACAGACAGACAGCTACTCGCACAGAAGATACAGATACATTTGCTGTATAGAAAACACACACAATACTTGAGGTTGAGTCCAAAATGACTAATGACCAGCGATTATCAAGCGATAAAAGGCAAAAGAGAGCCCAACAACAGCAGCAGCAGCACCAGCACCAGATAATTTATTATTGTTTTAAACATTTGTGTTTTGCGCTCAAACGAGATACATTTGTCTCCTCTCGAAAACAGAAACCTTTTCTGTGCCTTTTTGTTCATTAAGACAATATAATACTCGTAAAAGTTGAAGAAGGGTCGTGTCGGCCCCCCATACATATTTATATGTGTATATAAATACATTGATGGAGACACACAGACATACATACATATGTATAAATCCATATGTAAATTTTCCCCTTCTGTCTCTCTGGGGGCAACTGCTGCACCTCTGCACCTTTTGTAATTAGTTGGCCTTTTATAACCCTTTTCTGCGGCTACCGAGTGTTGAATTTTTGTTGTTGTTTTTTTTTTTTTTGTCTGCAGAGGCTAGTAGAGCCGACAGCAATAATAAACTTGAAGATTCATGAAAGCGGCAAAAAGGAAAAAAAAATAAAATAAACAGTCAACAGCGACGCGTAAATTTCAGTCTTTCAGTATTTCATTTCTTTTGTTGCCAGCCCCCTAGTCAAAACACGGCAAAAACTATCAAGAAAATACCAACACAAACACAACAAAATACAAACAAAAACTCAAAGAATATGTTAGAGGTAAAGAACTTTTGGTGCCCTATACGGTATTTACATTCGCATATTGATTGCTGCATTTAAAGAATTAATTTGATTTTTAATTTTGATATATATTTAAAAATTTTTTTTCTTTTTTCTTGTTATTATTAGATCATATTTGATTTGATATTATAATCGTTTTCCAACTCTTATTTTTACTGCCCCAACTCCCTCACCCTACCAAAAAAAAAAAAAAAAAAAAATAGCGCATACCCCATTCGAAATGATCGCATCAACACTGAAAGGGGGGGTATCCCAGATGCTTGGGCTGATTGTTGGGCTCTGCTGTAAATGTGAATTGGCCGAAATTAAAAATATATTTATGACTTAAGTGGCAATAAATTATGTTTCTTGTTAAAATTCTATTGTTTCTGTTTCGGTTTCTGTTTCTTCTTTTTTTTTTTTTTTATCTCTCCCTTCATTTTGGCTTTCTTTTTTGTTCCTCTTCTTATTTATTTATTTTGGTTACTGTTTTTGTATTTTTTGTGGTTGTTGGTTTTCAAAATTATTCACATAAATTTCGCCCAAAAATTGTGTGCTTCTGACATTATTTACGACTTGCTAATGAAGTTGGTTGGCTGCTGGATTGCTGGATAGTTTTCAATATGTTTATGTCCCACCCTTGTGGTGGTCGTGTTAAATGAATATTCGTGTATCTTTTATGGTTTGCTGCTCGTTGATTGCAATTACTTGTAAATCTGTCGCACAGTCACATCGGGGGAATGGGAATAACGCGACTGATAAGGCGATCGATCGACCACTTGACTTGTATACCGTCCCCATGCTGCCACTTGAGAACAGATCCCAGTCACATAAATACTACATATTATACACCATAGGCGCTATAGTGCCTAGCATTTCCATTTAATTTGTTGTTATTTCTAGGCTTTTTGTTTATTACTAAATACTTGAGCTGTTGCTGTTTTTTTGTGTTTTTGTTTTGTTCTGTGTCTGGGGGTCAATCTGGGTGATTTGTTATTTATTAAACACTTTTGACACGGGTTTTGTGGGTTTTTTTGTTGTTAACAATTTGATAATTGTGTTGTCTCATGATTGGGGATTTATTCTTACGTAATGTTTAGAGTTGTTTAAATAAGAATTTCAATTGGTTTTAGTTGAGATTTGAATAGAAATAAAATATTTTTAATATTATCAGGAAATGAGTTCTTAAAGAGTTCTTGTTATATGCTATTTCGGAGTCTTTGCAGAGTCTTTTTCAGTCAGTCAATGTACAATAAATATTCATTATATACAAATATTTTATTTTCATAAATTTACCTAAAGCCAGGTGTTCAAAGAGCCAAACGACAGTTGCGCTTCTGCTTATTTCCCTTCATTCTAGCTCTGAAAGTTGTCCAAT